ACGCCGGCTTAAGACCCTTCCCCTGGGTGTCACCCGCCCCCAACTCCAGAGGTGCCCCTCAACTCCGCTAGGCTTCAAAGTTGGCGATTTCAGTCGCTTCACCCACTGGTTCCTTAAGCCTCTCACACCAGGCTCGGGGAAGAAAGTTAACAGGCCCGGTGGGGACTCCACGTTCCTAAGTGCGTGCCAGAGGAAGGGCGGAAAAGGAGAGCTGCTAGTCTCCGGGACCAAGTAATAAAGGAGGACGTTATATAGATAGGTGGTTGATCTCCAAATTTAGGAATGTTTGCTTTAATCGACCCCAGTGTGGTATATTATGAAAAGTATTTTAAGATGTGTAGAACCGGTAAGGTATGCTAGAAACTGACTTCGTGGCTTTCCTTTTCAGCCACTCGACTGTCTTTCCAACTTGGAACTGTGCAATGACATATGCATAAATTGTGCGGAAATACGGAGTAGAACAGACAGGAGGCCAAATCCCAGTCTACTTCTGGCTCTCCTAGCCATAATTTCTACCACCGAAATCTAGGCAGGTAATGGTGTGGGCTAATACCGATTTAATAGCTAATCCAATTTCCTTTTTTAATTAACAAGCTTGTGACATTTTAATCTCGAAAGAAACAGTAATGAATGTCATTCTCTGCAGAATACTTCCCAACCGTGGGAGTCCTGGTCTGCCTTCCACCCCTCTTTTCTTGGTAACTCCTATCCCCAGAGCTTTCAACCCTGCCGCTGCTCCTCCTGGGAATCTGCTCTGTTCTCCCTGTTTTCTTAGACTGATAATTAAGCCATTACTGTGCAACTTAGAATTCATTTTCAGTTTTCAATGTTATCCTGTACTCTATACAGGCATCTCGCACAGTGCTGGGAGCAGAATAATCCTCTGGCTGAGAATCTGCGACAGCATACACTCTTACCAGTGTAGCTTCTCTCCTGATCTGCCCATACGCTTTGCACAGAAACAGCCGTGTCTTCCACAGAAATACCGTGTCACGGTACTGGCCACTGTTCTTCTTTGTCTTGCCTCTGCGCTGTCTTCAAAAATGTATACACAGTTAAAACAAACAAACAAAAAAGTCAGATGAAATATCGTAAATAAAAAAACTTAAAATGTAAGTGTAAAAAAACAATAAAATCGTGTATTTATAAAGACCATCATGGCCTTGCTTACAATAGAGAAAAATCAGCAACAACCTAAATATCCAGCAATAAGGAACAGCTAAGTGAATGAACTATCCATAGCTCTGTAGTTTTCAAAGGACAAATGGTTATAGATAGAAACTTCTGTAGAGTGGGAAAAGAGCAAATTACAGAGCTGTATGTACACTATGCTACCATATTCACAAATGACAAAATCCCACCAAGCCTGGATTGATCTGATATTTTATATAAGTATAGACATGGACTACAAAAATATACACCAATTTCATGACAGTTGTTGCTTAGGTAGAAGGAAGGTAGAAATGAGAAACATTATCATGTTTTTCTTCTTTCACTTAAAAATTGAATCTGCCAAATCTGATTCTATAATGTATGTTACCCATTGTGCCTTTGTTTAAAACATACTTTTAAAATTTCCATGTATATGTGAAAAAATTTTCCATGTGTTTGAAAAAAATTGCAAACAAGTTTCCAAGACAGAGGATTTCTGACATACATAACTAGGAGGATATTAAAATTAATGATTTTTGTGGATGTGTTTTTTATTGGCACGTGTTCTATATTCCTTTGTGGGTTTTTGTTGTTGTTGTTGTTTGTTTGTTTTAGTACCTTCTGTGTGCATCAGCTAAACCAGCCTATGGTGAGCAAAACCACACGAATTATCCCGTGATCAATCATTTGCTCTTGTAGACATGTTCAAGAAAAAAGAGCAAGTGACAAAATAAGAGTACAGGAAAGTATGAAACCTAATGTTAAGACTGGTAGTCTCTGGGTAGAGTGATTCTTGGTGATTTTTGTCTTACAATGCCTGACACTTCTATAATAGGATAGTTAACTAAAAATATACATTTGCATTAAATAATAACTAATTGAGTATCTCTACAAAATACACACAGCTGAGAAGGGGAGAAAAGAAGAGAGAACAGAAGGCCAACTGAGCACGAAGACTACAGCAGTGGCAATGTTGCAGTGTATAAATTAATTAGTTAACTTAGGGTGCATATATGTGTGTCCTTACTCTACACCAGGCATTGCACTAAACATGTATTGTATTGTTTAATCCTCAAGACAGCCATATTACAGAAGAACACCCTAAAATATAAACCACACAAGTACTTTGTCCAGTTCAGAATGCTGAGATTTCAAACCTTGGTAGCTCTAACACCAGCTTCAGGCTCTCCAAGGGTGATCCCAAGGAATCTTATTTAAAAAGGAATGTACTCATAAATAAGGAAACTGAACCCAAATGAACTCTGTATGCTTTGTCTAAGGGAAGAATAGTTTATGAGCAGAGAAGAAGAAGAAAACTTAATGAGTGTCAAGCACCAATTAGAGTAGGAAGAGGCAGCCATTCGTGTGAATTAAAGCAGTAAGGTCCCTATTACCAGGCCAGGTTGTTTATTTATCTCTGGTATCCATGTGGCAATTTTCCAAAGACTGTCTTACCTGCTCACTGCCCTCCAACCCAGCTACAAATACAAGAAAACTGACTAACTCATCCTCTTTATACCTTCATGCCTAGAAAGGCTTTCTGGTCTCTGACACAATTTTTGTCTTTTTGGAAAGAAAAGTCCCCCTTGTTTATAATCAGGGTGGAGGAGACTTAGCAAATCTGTCTAACTACAAAAAGAATGTTCACTATAATGAATAGTAAAAAAATAGAATAGGGTCAGATTATAATTAGGGTCAGAAAGGACTAGAAAGCCATTAAGATGTGCTATGCTGGTTTACTTTATCCCAATATATTTTGTCACTTATTAGATTATAAATTTCCAAAGAGGGGACATATATTCCCCAAAATTACATATAGAAAACCTCTTAACTGCTAATTGAATATTTTGAATGCACTTGAAATGACTATCTTACTGCCTCAATATCAGCATTTAAAAAGTCACCCTTTCGGGGGCCTCCCTTGTGGTGCATCAGGTTAAAGCACAGCCTAAGAAGCTAAAGCCACTTCAGCATGAGTTTGATCCATGACCCACATGGCGCAGCTGACCTCTCCTGACACGCCCGCTGCTCCCCTCAGCAGTGTACTTCTTCCACTGCCTGTTCTACTTCCCACTCTGTTTTGGTGAAGCTCTCACTGCCCCTGCATCTCTGGTCTGTACCCCAGTTCTGTATGCATAAATAAATAAATCTTAAAAAAAAGCTACCCTTTCCTTGAACTGGCCTTTCTGAGTCAGAATGTGCCTGATCTGTTGTTCTTGGAGTTTTGTTTCTGCAAATTTGTAGGAACTTCTTAAGAGAGTATTGTCAGCTTTATTAGTTGTAGACTGTTTCAATGTTTAACTCTCTTTTTCCTTTTACTATTTTTTATTGCAATAAAACACACATAATATAAAACGTACCAAGTTAGCTAACTTTAACTTGATCTCAAGAACATTCACAATGTTATGCAACTATCGCCATCATTCATCTCCAGAACTTTTTATTATCCAAAACTGAAACTCCATCCCCATTAAATACTAATTCCCTACCATTTTAAATCTGTTTTTTGGGAGAATTTTTGTTGATTGTCATTTATCTTCTGCTAGGTAGTCAGCTACTTTCCCCCCTTGTTATCAAGAGTCCTGTCCTTAGTAATATACTACATCTTATTGACTTTCTGTTTTTAATTTTCTATTGGTAGAAAGAGATTACCTTATCAAAACTTCATGTAAGTAAGAACTATTAGAAAGTCTTATTCCTAAAATCTTTTCTGTGCAAAGAAGTACTAGGACATTGTGATCACTAGCTCAACTATTAAAAGAAATTTTGTTTCCTTGGTAACTGGACACACCCCAAAGAGTTTGTATTATTAGAAGTCAAATTTATGGAATATTGTGGTGTTGTGGGTTTTAAGAGCATGACAGTGTAGGTAGTAGATATGTAACTAGAAATATTTCATATCTTGTATATTTTTAAGACTCTAATAGGTTTCCCCCATGAGGTTTCTTTTTTCTTTTTTTAAGTTGTTTTTATTTATGCATACTGAACTGGGGTATAGGCCAGGAGTGCAGTGGCGGTGAGAGGGTTCACCAGAGACAGAGAGGGGAGCAGAACAGGCAGATCGAGGAAGGATACTGCTGAGGGGAGCAGCAGGCAACACAGGAGAGGTCTGCCATGCCATGTGGGTCACCTACGGTGCGGCGAAGTGGCTTTAACCTCTTAGTGCTGTGCTTTAACCTGCTGTGCCACCAGGGAGGGCCCCCATGAGGTTTCTTTTAAATTCTTTTTTTTTATTGTGAAAAAATACATATAACAAAATTTACCTTACTGACCATTTTTAAGTGTAAAAGCTCTTAGTTTTTACAGTAATGAATACAAATGTTGATACTGGGGGAAATCCCCAAAATTAAATTTCAACTCTTATGTGTATTTTCCAATGTCATAATCATGGGAGTAAACTTGTCTGTTTTTAACTTATTCCAACCTACTTTAGTGATTTTGGAAAACAGGAAGAACCTCCTGGAAATTTGGTAAACTCCACTCGTGCATATTTAAAATATCCAGAGTCCGTGCAAAGTTACAAGGTTGCTGCCTTGCCAACTTTTGCAGACCTGTCTTACCAGCTGCCTCAAAAAACACGGAGCAGTTACATTCTCTGACTAGTCATTC